GTTCTTCAAAAGGCTGTATATGCTTTGAATAACCATCTGCTCTATGGTATTGCCTCCCATAGCTAGGATTTACAGGTACAGGAATCAAGGGGTGGAATTGGAAATGTTACCACTCACTATTACCCCTAGTGATCCACTAGCAAAATTTCTGCTTCCTGTTCCTATGACCTTATGCTCTGCTGGCTTAGAAGTCTTAGGACCAGAACAGGGAAGGATTGTACCAGGAAGCACAGCAATAATACCACTGAAATGGAAGCCAAAACTTCACCCTGGTCTTTCTGATCTCTGCATACCTCTAAAGAATCAAGCTAAACGGAGTTGGTGTTGCCAAGGCTGATTTACACAGACTATCAAGGGAAAATTGGACCATTACTCCACAAAGGAGGAAAGGAAGAATATACTTACAGTGTAGGAGATCCCTTAGGGTAGGATTACTATGCCCTGTTATTAAAATTAGTGGGAGACTACAACAGCCCAATCCAGGCAGGGTGACAAATGGTATAGACCTTTAGGAATGAAGCTTTAGGTGACCCCCCCAGGTAAAGAACCAAGACCTGCTAAGGTGGTTGCTGAAGGCCAAGGGAATACAAAATGTGTATTAGTAGAAAGTAGTTTAAAATTCCAGCTATGACCCTGTGATGAGTTATAGAAATGAGGATTATAATAGTTCTCTTCTAATACTCTTCCTATGTAATATGTTGATACAGACAAGATTTGTTCTTAAGTATTGCTAAACCTGCGTTGTAATGTTCAAATTATGACATGTTAGGAGAAGCATCATCCAAGGAATCTTCTACTCTGGAAGGGAATTCATGTGTTTCTGTTTGTACGCTAAATATTTGTAACATGTTAGGCAGAATTATGATCTTGTCTATGTGTCAGGAGACTGTAGTTTAAGGAAATGTGTCTGGTTGGCAAATTGACAAGGGGTGGATTGTGATAGTTAACTGATTGTATCAACTTGAGTAAGAAACACCCAACTGAGTTAATTGAATCAGGATAGTCCTGGGTGTGTCAGCAACCAATAAGCTTGTACCCTTGGTGGAATAAAAGGAAAACGAAGAAGGAAGGCTCACTTCTGTTTTTTCAGAGGAGCTCTAGTCTTCACCTTCACCTTGGATATCATCTTCAGCCTTCTGGCATAGACCCTTCACCTTCCATCGCAGACACTTTGGCCTCCTGATACAGACTCACGTGGGACTTTAGTGAGCTCCAGGGCTTCAGCTGGATCCTTTGGATCTCTAGGCCACAGACAGCCCTTTTGTACTTCTTCACACTTGACTCTGTGGGTGGCCATTGTAAGCCAACCTGGTAAGTTCTTATATGCTGTGTTTGTATATCTTGCATAAAATATGGTTCTGTAGTAAGCACTGACTGATACACAACCCAGTGAATTTTATACTGCTATTGATTGTTTCAAAGTTTATGCTTGTATTGGGCTAGTGTACTGGTTATAATTATACTTACTGGCCTTAATTCTGCCCTCAGGCTACAAAGAATTTGGCTCCCTTTTCCCCACAACAACCTTTTAGATACCTTATTTATTCTATCCTCTCTACCCTTCCCTTCACAAATTTTTCTCCCTTTGGGATAAACATCCTCACCTTTTCCAACTCCTCCTATGATACTTTCATTGTCCTGATTGCTAAAGACATTAAATTTTGTTAATGTCTCTTCTGAAATGTCTTTGGAACTGGAAATAATATTCAGGATGTACCTGAATTGGATCTGGATGTTGCACATCTGATCACTAATGTAGCTTGAAGTTGCTATACTTTTTTACTTTTTTTTTTTTTGGTGTGTGTGTATTTGTTCGTTTATTTGTTTTTAAGATAAGATTTCCGTGCTGTAGTTCAGGCTGTCCTTGAACTTGCTGTGTAGCCCAGGCTGACCTTGAATTCAGTATCCCAAGTGCTAGGATTGGGCCAGAGATATAGCTCAGTGGCACAAGTGCCTACCTGGCAAGCACAAACTCCTGAGTTCAATTCCCAGTACAAAAATAAATAAATAAATAAAAAGAAAAACAGGCTGGGAATATAGCTCAGTGGAATCACATCTGCCTGGCAAGCACAAGGTCCCAAGTTCGATTTCTGGTACCAAAAAAAAAAAAAAAGAGAATATCAAGTGCTAGGATTGCAGGCATGCACCACAACACCCCAACAGTTGCTATGAGGTTGTTTTGTTTTTTAGCAGTGATATAATGGTGGTTCATAATGGATTTATAATTAACTAAAATTCCCACGTTTTTAATCTGGAGGTTTGCCTTCACATGACTTTATTCCAAACCAAGTCTCCCAGTTCCTTAGTAATAGTTTTAAAAAGGCATAATATAAGACTTTACATTTACTCCTTTTAAATTTTGTCTCGCTATGGTGCATGGTGGCACACACCTATAATCCCAGCACTCAGGAGGCTATGGCAGGAGAATCACCACAAATTTGAAGCCAGCCTGAACTACGTTGTGAAACCCTGTTTCAAAAAAATCAAAAAATAATTTAAAAAAAAAATGGTGTCGCACTAGCCTGTAAGCCTTGCTTTCTTTAAATCTTGGTTTTTGTTATCCAGTTCAACAAAGGGCTTTGAAGTTAATATCAGAATGTTTTTAGACATCTGGGAAACGATAATCAGCAGTCAGAGAGTATATTCTGAAAATTTCTAAATGTATATATAACTCAGCTATTGTGGTATTTATATGAATTATTACCACTGTAAATTGACAAAGCCAAGAAAGTCTGAACTTCATTGCCAGCTTAAAAGAGAGAAGCCTTGTGTTGAATATTACTCAAAGAGACATGATGTTCTATAGACACTGCCAACATAATGTTGAAAGATCTGGATAATTCTTTAAGTCATCAGTGCCCATATGGAGTAGAGACAAAGTCACTGTGACCATTCTTTTTTTTTTTAAATACATTTTCATTTTTACTTGACATAGAATAATTTTACATATTTATAGAATACAGTGTGGTATTGCTGCATGTATACAGTGCATTATATCAGATCAAAATAACTGGCATATCTTTTACCTCATGTATTTGCTTTTCTTTCTATTAGGAACATTCAAAATCTTATCCACTAGCTATTTTGAATTACTTAGCTAATTGTTTTCAGCATAGTTATTCTTGTGTAATAGAATATTCAGAGTTACTCCTAGAAAACTGTACATCTTTGCCCGTTTACCATCCTATCGCCACCACCTCCAAAACACACATTCTTCCTGGGCTCTGCTAACTACTATTTTGTATTCTAATTATGAAATCAATTTTTTAGCTTCTACCTGTGAGAAAATGTGGTATTTGCCTTTCTGTGCCTGACTTACTTCACTTTGCATAATGTCCTCCCGTTCTGTCTATATTGCTGCAAGTGATAGAATTTCTTTGTGTCTGAAAAATACTTCATTTTGTATATATAACACATTTTCTTTATTCCTTAATCGAGCAATGGATAGGTTGAGTCCATATCTTGACGATTGTGAATAGTGCTATAATAAAATATGCAAATGTAGATATCTCTTCAGTTATCAACTTCAGTTCCTTTGGATATAACTTAGTGGGATTGTTAAATCCTGTTCCCAGTTTTTTGAAGAGCCTCCATGCTCTTTTCCATAATGGCTGTACTTGTTTACATTTCCATCAATAGTGTATGAGATTTCCCCTTTCTATACATGCTCATCAGCATTTATTGGTTTTTGTCTTATATAATAGCAATAAAATAGCTATCCTGACAGTGTGAGGCGATACCTCCTGGGGATTTCGATTTGCATTTTCTGATGATTAGTGGTGTTGGACATATTTTGATATGCTCGTTGGCTATTTGGGTATCCTCTTGAAAAGTATCTATTCAGGTGATTCACATTTTTAAATTGGATTCTGTGTGTGTATGTGGGTGGTGGTGGTGGTGGCGGTAGCATTCTTTTGTTTTACATCTGCACGATATCAGACAATGTGGGAGGTTCTGGAGAACCAGGTTTGCCTCATAGGTAGAGTGACCACACAGTCTGGTTTGCGTGGGGGAACCCTGAGGTACATCTATTGTCCCTGTGTAATTATTCATTTTGTTCGTTATTTTTTGCTTTCAAAAGCGTCCAGGTTTGGAGGATAAATTATCCTGCCACCCTTCTCAATCCAGCTGGCCCCTTTTTGTGTGTTGTCTGGGTTAAATATTACGTAGCTGTAATTTGGCAGGTCTAATTAGGCTGCCAAATTCTCTTCTGTTTGAACAGCTTGTTCCTTGACCAAGGAACACTGAGCAAGGGACTGCAATTAAGTTTTTAAAATATATTTTGGCTTTTTTCGCCATCCTGTAGAGGGCAATTTTTTTATATATTTATTTATATTTATAAAAATTATGATCCACTTCTATCAAAAATGAACTCTTATGTATGCAGAAAAATCAGGCGCTTTTTAATATTGTAATATATAGGAACATGAACAAATATTTAAAATTAATTCATTAACATTCTGAACAGTTATTTTTTTAAATTGTGAAACCTGAACTCTGCCTTGAATATACAATGATCCATCATAACAATTATGCATAGACTTTAAGAATCTGCATATTTTATGCTTCTTTCATGTTTTTCCTAATTAATGATTTACATGTTTAATTATAGTATATTATGCAATACAGTCTCCATATTCATATAAAATAAGCACTTCAAAATAAATAGTTTTCTTCTACTTGTTTAAATATGAACTTTCCTCAGAAAGAGAAGATGGAGAACCGGGAGTGTAGCTCAGTAGTGCTTTCTGTCTAGCATGTGTGAAGCCCTGGATTCAGTCTGCCGCACCATAAGAGAGCGACAGAACCAAAATAGCAGATTTTACTGTATGACTTGAATGGTGTGGTAAAGTAGAATTCTGGTATTTAGAATTCGAATGTGTTTTAGTTATTTTATAGTTACTTTTATGTCATCAGTGGATAAGTTTTAGGTCCTAATACCAAGCACATATTGCTGTGTTTCACATTTTGGATTTCCTAATGCCGTGTTCTCTTTTTAGAAAAAGTGGACAAGTCCTGTTTTCAAGAGAAGATGACTTGTAACAGTTTTGAAGGATCTAAAACTTGCGTGCCTACAGACATCAGTAAGGATGGAGAATTTGTAGAAGAATTTAATAGATTAAAAACTTTCGCTAATTTTCCAAGTAGTAGTCCTGTTTCGGCATCAACACTGGCACGAGCGGGTTTTCTTTATACTGGTGAAGGAGATACTGTGCGGTGCTTTAGTTGTCATGCGGCAGTAGACAGATGGCAATATGGAGACTCAGCAGTTGGAAGACACAGAAAAGTATCCCCTAATTGCAAATTTATCAACGGATTTTATTTTGAAAATAGTGCTGCACAACCTACAAATCCTGGTGTTCAAAATGGTCAGTACAAAGCTGAAAACTATCTGGGAAGCAGAAATCATTTTGCTTTAGACAGACTGCCCGAAACTCGTGCAGACTATCTTTTGAGAACTGGACAGGTTGTAGATACATCAGACACTGTATACCCAAGGAATCCTGCCATGTGTAGTGAAGAAGCTAGATTAAAATCATTTCAGAACTGGCCAGACTATGCCCACTTAACTCCCAGAGAGTTAGCTAGTGCTGGACTGTACTACACAGGTATTGACGATCAAGTACAGTGCTTTTCTTGCGGTGGAAAACTGAAAAACTGGGAACCTTGTGATCGTGCCTGGTCAGAACACAGACGACACTTTCCGAACTGTTTCTTTGTTTTGGGCCGGAACATTAATGTTCGAAGTGAATCTGATGTGAGTTCTGAAAGGAATTTCCCAAATTCGATTCCTCCAAGAAATCCAGCCATGGCAGAGTATGAAGCCCGGATCATTACTTTTGGGACATGGACATACTCAGTTAACAAGGAGCAGCTTGCAAGAGCTGGATTTTATGCCTTAGGTAAACAAACTTTCCAACTATCCCTGGGTTCCTAAACAGTAAATACGTGCCTTTAACTCTCTGAACTGGTAAATATTGAGGTGTCAACCAGCATGATTATTTATATCAGTATTATTTTCTAAACTTATATAATTATGGAATTTATATAAAAGAGATACATTATTGCAAGTCATGTCTAAACTTATGTAATTGTCTTAAGAGATGGATGATAGAAAGCTGGGTCTTATGGTAATGCTAGCTAGCATTTATTAAGCATCTAATACTTGTGCTCAGTATATTATATTGCATGCATTTCCTGTAAGCCTCATAAAAACTTTCTAAAATAAGTTAATGTTAGAGTTTGGCTCATACTAAAATTAACATCTACCTTTAAATATATATGATGGGGCTCGGTGTGGTGGCGCACACCTGTAATCCAAGCCTATAATCCCAGTACTCAGAAGGCTGAGGCAGGAGGACCTTGAGTCTGAGACCAGCCTGGGCCACAAAGGCCAGCCTGAACTGCATAGCGAGACCCTGTCTCAAGAAGACATACATACATACATACATACATACATACATAAATAAATAGATATTTGAAAGCTCCCTGTATAATACTTACTGCTACAATTGAGTGTTTTTGAAATGGATGCTATAGGTGTGTCAGGAAGGGCAATTAGTGGGACAGCTTCTGGGAATATTTTTTAAGAAGTATTTTATATCTGACCCCTTTATTTTAGGATTAAATAATACCAAAATACAAAATAACCATTATTTCAAAATTTTCATTTGTATAACATCATATAGTAACCTTAAAGTTCTATTTAGTATCATTGAGCTATAACCTTAGAGGAATTTATCTTGTAACTTCATTATGCTGAAACTTACTGTTTTTGATACTTGTATAACTTGTTTTAAAGTTCATTTTGACAAAGTAAATGCAGTATTGGTGGCCCCAATGACAAAAATTAAAAAGAATGTAACAACTGTAGTTCTTTTTCTTTTTGAGACAGGGTCTCACTGTGCAGTTCAGGCTGGCCTTGAGCTCGTTTTGTAGCCCAGGCTGGTCTTGAACTCAGAACGATCCTCCTACCTCAGCCTCCCGAGTGCTGGGATTACAGGTGTGTGCCACCATACCGGGCACAATTGCAGTTCTTAATATAAAAATTGGTCATTTAAAAAAAATTGGTCATTTTGTAGTTGTCTTCCATAAATTTTTTCAGATTGGGTCTAAGAATTTAGTGTATATTTTCTCAAGTGATAAAGATCATACATCTATACATGATATGTATCTTAGATGAAGATATAAATGTCTTAAGCTGTATGATTTTTTATTTTAGTTAGATGTGCTTGATTTTTAGGTGTTAGAATGGGTGTTTTTGTGTAAACTTCTAGTTGCACAAATACATAATATTGTTACCTATATATTTTCTTAGGTGAAGGTGATAAAGTTAAGTGCTTTCACTGTGGAGGAGGACTGACTGATTGGAAGCCCAGTGAAGACCCTTGGGAACAACATGCTAAGTGGTATCCAGGGTAAGATGTTTAATTGTTCATTCAGTAACAGGCAAGTTGGACAGTATGCAGTGGGAGGATTTGAATTACTTTTCACCTCAACTATTTTTTGCCCTCAGTATGGCTTGAAATTCACGCTAGGTTTATAAAAACGGGGTCACCTACTTGATAGGGGGAAAAAACATTTAATCCTTCTCTGGTGACCAAAGCACTCATTGTTTATATATATCTGTGACATTAAGATAATTGTATTCCAAAACACAAAATTAGGAAATGTGTACTTATTTGTTGAAAGTAGACCCTTCTGTGATGAACTTGAAAGAGCCCCTGTTACTAAGGAGAGTCCTGAAGGAGCCGTCATACACCCAGGAAACTCTATTGGATCTCATTGATTCTAAGACACAGAGTTCTTTACAGTTTAACATCTCTGAAATCAGGACACATCTGGTAACAGATCATAATTTAATTGGCAGCAGTTTTAAGTAGTACATAAACATGGAGCTTCTTACAATCAGTGACATCCTACAATGATGACATTCTAAAGGTCTCTTTGCCATCCTGTCTTTTTAAAACAAAGCACCCAGATATATAAGTGATGTAAATTTCTGGCTTACAAAATAGTACAACTTAAAACTTCAGAGAAATCATTTGTAAAAACATCTTAGCCTTAAATAACCTTAAAAAGAAAGATTGAAAATGAAGATTTTAAATGTCCAGTTGATTAATTATGTAAAAAATAAAGCCTGTTAAGATTACCTTAAACTTTTGAAAAAATGTCAAAGTACTAATTTAATAATGTGCTTAAAAAAATAACATGCTTAAAAGTTAAAAGTTTTCAAAAAAAAAAAAGTTAAAAGTTTTCAAGTTGATATTATTGCCCTTCTGACATAGCATAACAGTAGGAACTTTTTTAAAACCTTGAAATGACAATTGGGAAGAAAATTAGTAATGTTCTTCATGGCTCCTTGGAAACAGTGAAAAGCAAGTTCATGGAATAAATATGGAGATAATATCTTTACTAATACTTTATTACTTTATTAGCTGCCAAAATTGAATCTTTTATTATTTAGGTGTAAATATCTGTTGGAAGAGAGGGGACAAGAATATATAAACAATATTCATTTAACCCATTCACTTGAGGAGTCTCTGGTAAGTCTCATATTGCATAATACATTTTTCAAATATTCTATCATTTGTTTTATAATTATTTTTCCATGTAAAATTCACAGTATAGTATTGTGAATTAATATTAAGTGTAGTAAGCTTAAAGATTTAAAAGGAGAGAATTCAGAGAAAACTTCTTATTTTTAACCTGAAGCAAATTTGTGAAAGGGGAAGAGGATGAACTAATTTAAATATCACTGTATACCTGAAAGAGTTAATTTAAACTAGGAGGTATGATAGACATTGTGAAATGATAGGAAAACA